TGCCATTGGAGCTTGAGCGGGAGCCTGGATCACCGGCTTGGGCCTCTTGTTCTGTTGAACAGGCGCAGTAGGTGCTAGTCTGCGGGATGAAGTTGAGGGTTTAAGGTTTCATACTGCCTGAGAGAGGGTACATAAGCTCCTCTCCACTACCTGTGCCTTGGCCAGAACGGCCGAATAAATCCTGAGCTCCAGCACAAACAAATGATGTATGATCTCTGGGTGGAGACCCCACTCGAACCTTCTAGCCTTCCCTCCTTCATCCAACAATATCTCAGGAGAATATCGACCCAACTCTAGAAACTTGCGAGCATATTCTGACACAGTTATATTCCCCTAGACCAACTATACAAACTTCATCTCTTTCAAATGTTGGAGATGCTCTAGAAGGTATTCTGCACGAAAAGCCGCCAGGAACTGTTCCCAAGTAACTGACAGGTAGGGTAGTCTGTTTGAGTTCCCACCAGCGGTCTGTTTCTCCAACTAGCATGTAGGTAGCAAATGTGACTTTCTGTTTGGGAGTCACTCCCAAGGTCTTGAAAGCCTTCTCTGTCTCTGCTAACCAGTACTCGACATCTTCAAAAGAGGATCCCACTACAAAAGAAGATGAGTTTGATCTCTTATACCCCTTTATATAGCCTGGTCAATCATGGGAGGAGCTGGATCCCGTGGAAGAGGGACTAGGCCATGCTGAGGATAGACTGGGTGGCCCTGCGGTGGTACTTGCTGATACGGTGGGGGCACCAGATTGTACTATGGCAGTGCCGGGTGGTACTGTGGTTGGAGCACCAGATCATACTATAGTGGTGCCGGGTGATACTGTGGAGGAGTAAGGTCGTACCAGGGTAGTTTGAGATTCTCTCGTTGCAGGGGTGGCTCAACCTGTGGTAGTGGAGGAGGGTCAGGTAGCTCCCTCCTTTCCTCCCGGCCCTGCTGGGCAGCATTGAATCTCTCCAGCATCTCAAATATTCGGTCAACATCTTCTCTAAGCGAGCCATCCCGGGCTGCTCGGTTTAGTGGGAGTCTTTCTTTCCTCATCTATCTGTACCTACATTTCACAAGGAGCAGTTGAGTGATAATTCATTGTTTTAGTGTTCCCTAAGAATTTTGTGTAAGGAATGGTCTGAGGAACGTGGCTCTGGTACCGGCTGTAACATTCTCAAAAATCTAAAAAAAATAGATAATAACTTAAGTGCGGAAGCGAAATAAAGGAATAAGGTTTATATTCTTTACACAATAACTTAAAAGTACTAAACAACATTACGAAATTCACCATTTTGAAAGAAACACAAGAAATAAGGAAATAAACAGAAAAGAGAAAATATCTAACATCTACTTGCAATCTTCTTATGGATTGGGCTTTGGAACCTGGTCCTCCTGATCTGAAATGGTTAAATAAGGAATGAGTTACACTACCCCAGTAAGGATATCACAGTATATCACCGACATACAAATAAAGGTGGGTATAAAAATAAAAACAACTAATAAAGTACTAAATTTAGCAAATCCATTTATCAATCATAAAATTATTTACCGTTCACTTATCACAGTAGAATTTATGAAAATAATATATGCAGACAATAATATCATACGGATCATAATTTTATGTAAAATCAGTAACATAGCACATATCATAAATCTATACACATCGTCAAATAACTAAACAATAACTGTCACATTTTCACCAGCCTACTAGTATCCATGAGGGTTCATAAGGATGTCCCCGCTACACGTGACCCATTTCCTTTAACAATCTCAATTACGGGCTGTCCCCATACCTCGTCCAGTATGAGCACTAAATTATTAAACCTCAATACCCCGTCTGGTATAAGGGTGAAGCAGGTCGTCCCCATACTCCGTCCGGTATGAGCGTCAAATTACCAAGTCTCTATAGCCCATCCGGTATGAGACAACGTTCACGGTAGAGTTCTCTATATACCCGGTATGTCCACCATCTCTCAGGATATTTAGTAAGGGTGTCGTTCCATCTGTTTAATCATATAACTTTCCTGTTTTCCTTTACTCTCCATTTTCCAAATCAACCATGATCACATAAGCAAACAAACATGCATAAGGGAATGCAATCATATCTTAATTTCTCAATCAAACAGTAGTCACGTAAGGCAGCAATTTATGCATTCAAATCATAAAATTGATAAACCAAATACCATCATACTTTTAGACTGTAAAATAAATCAACAGAAATTAACAGAGAAAAATTTCCGATTCGGGCTCCATTAGCAATCCGTAATTAATTTTGTATATTTATTTAATTTGCACAAATATTATATTATTATTTATTTACACTTCAATTCTATGATAGGGAATAGGGTGAGAGATCCTTACTCGATTTGACATCCGAAAAGATAAGCTGTTTACTGCGTCTACGGGGGATCCCTGGGTTTTCTGAATTTTTCTTCGGGAATTAAAATGCATTAATGGTACCTACAAATATTCTAAACAAACTCGAAATCAGTCCCAGGGCCCACTCGGCCAATTTCCAAATTATGGCACAACGGCTCCTCTGTGCTCCGGCGACGACGCCACTGCCCGCGGCATCGGTCTGCTTCAGGCTGGCTATTTTCGGCCATTTTTTGATCGATTTTGCATCGATCTCTGCAAGAAAACACGTTAAGGGGTCTCGGTTGGCTAAAAAAATACAAAAAATTGAAACTCACCAGCGGCGGGGCTCTTTGGTGCAGCGGCTCCTCCGACTCACATTGCGGTTGGATGTTTTGCTCTGGTCAACCTGTAGAGAATGACACGGTGATCACAACGGTGGAAAAATTATACAAAATGAAAAATCGGGAAGGGCCTCATCGGAGGCGTTTTGTGAAATTCTCTGCGGCGGCATCGCCGGGCTTAGCCGGCGTTTTTCAGCCAATTGACGTGTCTTTTTGCTCCAATTTGGCTATGGGTGAGCTTAAAATTGAATTTCGTGCAAAAGAAAAAGTTTTTACCTTTTTTGGCGGTTGGAAAGGGTTCCGGATGCTGCAGCGGGTGGCAGCGATCTGCTCCCTAGCGGCTAGGTTGTCTTCTTCGACAATGGGGTCTGGCGGTTAAGGTTAGGGTTTGGTGCGGATGAGGGTTATTTATATCCGTCCGCTTTTGATCTGGACCGTCCATCGCGTTTGATCTAGACCATCCGATCGCGATTAAAAAAGGAGTGAATCTGGACCGTTCATCGCGATCCACTCTGAACCGTCCGATCGCATTTGAATTTGGCCGTTCGATCGCATTTGGGAGGGAGCACATCCAGGCCCTCCGTGCGTGCAGGAACACACCTGGGCCGTTCGATCGCGGACACGCGAATCGCCTGCATGGCTTCCCGCATGGAACCGCATCACCGCTCGTTGCCACGTGGCACGTCCTGCTTCGTCGGGGCTGCTGACCAGACGTCCCACGTGGCAGAACTTTTCCAAATTGCACTTTGACCTCTGGTTTTCGATTTTTCTTTCTAAAATATCTTCAGAACCCAAATTTTTACCCAATTTCTCCAAAATAGTTTCCAAGTTCATCCTCGTTCAATTTTTAATTCATTTTTATCCTAAATAAAATAAAATAAAATACAACAAAATAAAATAAATTAATAAAGAATTATATTTATTAATTATTTAATTACACACAAATTTTTATTTTTTTTATTTTTTTTGTGATTGTTACAACCACATATATATATATATATATATATATAATGAGGCCCTTAAAAGTAAGTTAACCAAGAATTAGAGAGAGAGAGGTGTTGACAATGAAAAGATTTTAGAAAATTTTGATACAAACACTTCATTATTTATTTATTGTCAAATGTGAAAGAAACGATAAGATAATATCCAGTTGTCATCTGCTTATAAATATGAATAAGGAGGTTGACGCACAACTGGTACATACTGCATTGAAATCGAAAGCTGAAGACCGATCGGAATTTGGGTTTGTGGTGGACGACTGCAGAGAAATACTGGAGAAAAGAGGAAGCATTTGTGTAAACTGTGTCCATAGGAGTTGCAACAAGGCTTTGTCCACTCTACATGCGTGTATCCTGATTTTCATGTATGGATGGGTCTGTTACAAGTTATTTATGATCTTAATAATATTTGGCCATTTAAAAATATATATATATATATATATATGAATTGGGATTAATTTATCTCTTATTTGTATATATAGATATATATTGTGTATATATTATATATGATTTAATATATTATCAGTTATATAATATGTGTGACTTCTTAGACATATGTTAATTAAGTTTTTAATTTATATTTATTATTTTGGTCATTTCGGTGTCTAACATATATTTTACTAGAACTAGTAACTTTTATTTTTAAAATAACATTATTTTTTATATTTATTTTCATCAAACTTATAATAATTTCTTTACTCAAAAACACTTTCAATGAACAAATATTTCAACAGTATTTTATAAGATATTGTAAATTCAAACTAACTGGGTATTTTTTTACTTTATTCGTTAAAAAATTGTATTATTACCTAATATACTACTTAAATAAATTAATTAATTTAAATAATTTTTACCCTAAAAAAGATTGATTTTTCACTAAAGCTCTCAAATTTGAAAATTTTAATTTTTATATAGCAGGGAAAAGTACAAGTCCTTGTCAGCTTTACACAAGGAAACAAAATATACAACACTCCAAAGTGTTCTATTTCGAAGGAGCAATAATGGCCTTATATTACTTATCTTCATTGAAGATTTTCAGAAGAAGTCTTCCAAGGTACATATTATTAAATATATATAGACTCAAGAGTATATTAGAGATAAATGTAACTGGAGCTGTGTGTATATATGTGTATAGAGGTGTATAGCTGCCAAATTGATGATGATTAGACACATCACATAACTGAAGTTAGATAAAAGCTAACCGTAGTCAGATGTTGGTTAGTATAATTAGCTGTAATTAATAATTGTTAGAGTGATTAGTTTCAATTAGTGGATAATTAAACTTGATTACCTTCATCTGTATAAGTACTGTAAAGGTGATTGATGCAAAGCAGCTTTCATTTTTTATTATAACAAACAAGGTCTCTCTCTCTCTCTCTGCTCTCCCGATCGTCTCTCCAGTTTCTTCTTCTTGAGCTTCTCTGCTCATTTAGATTTCGTACAAATCCCGTTTAGTTTTCCAAAAGAGTATTCATACGCACACATACATTCTTCCTCTAAATATTAACTAAAGTTATATATTAGCGACAAACTATTCAATATGATGCTTGAAGGGTGGTCGCTGTGGATGGAGGCAGAGCACACGACGATAATGGTTAGTATCTTGGTTGCAACAGTCACCATATTTGTTGGGTATAAATGGTTGATGAAGATAGCCATGAGAGGTAAGCCACCATTGCCGCCTGGTCCAAGAGGCTTGCCTTTACTAGGAAATCTTCCTTTTGTTGAACCAGATCTTCATATTTACTTTTCAAAATTGTCTAAAAAGTTTGGCCCAATCGTCAAAATCCAAATGGGTACCAAAATCTACATCGTCATTAACTCAGCTTCATTGGCAAGACAAGTCCTCAAGGAAGATGATGTAATTTTTGCTAACCGTGACCCCCCAGCCGCCGGACTAGCTCTCACATTTGGTGGTCTTGACATATTATGGAGGCCAAATGGTCCTGAATTCCGATATTTGCGCAAGATTCTTGTTCGCGAAATAATGAGCAAGGCATTCTTTGATGCTTCTTACGGCCTTCGTCAAAGAGAGGTGCGAGAGATGGTGAAAGAAATCTATGCAAAAGTTGGCTCACCCATAAAAGTTGGGGATCAGCTGTTCGTAACTTCTTTGAATGTAGCAATGAGCATGTTATGGGGTGCCTCTTTGGATGAAGAAAAGAAAATTAGTGTAGGGTTGGAGTTCAAGCAAGTTATAGAGGAGATAGTTGACCTTTTGGGTAAACCTAATATTTCTGACTTCTTTCCAGTCCTAGCTCCGTTGGATTTACAAGGAATTGTATCAAAAATGTTGAAACTCAGATCATGGCTAGATAGGATTTTCGAATCAGTAATTGCAATAAAAACGAAAGTTGATGGAGAAAGCACGGGGACAAGTAACGAAAATAAAGACTTTTTGCAAATTCTGTTGGAGCTTATGCAGCAGGAAGATGAAAAGATGCTACTTTCCAAAGCTGACATCAAAGCTTTGTTTGTGGTAAGTTAAGGCTTAATTTATACATATATGTTTATATGTTAATGGTTTTGCTTATTTACACATGCAGAATGTTATTACGGGAACAACAGATACATCATCGAGTACCATAGAATGGGCACTAGCAGAGCTACTAAAAAATTCAGATATTATGAAGAAAGTACACGAAGAATTGGAGAGAGTTGTTGGCAATGAAAAAATTGTAGAAGAGTGTGATATAAACCAACTACATTATTTACAGTCTGTAGTGAAAGAAACAATGAGATTACATCCAGTTGTTCCTCTACTTGTCCCTCACAGTCCCAGTATTTCAACAACTATAGCTGGCTACAACATTCCTAAAGGCTCAAATGTTTTTATTAATGTTTGGTCAATAATGAGAGATTCTAAGGCTTGGAAAAATTCACTTGAATTTCAGCCGGAGAGATTCTTAGAACATCCAGAAATTGGTGATTACAGATGAAATAATTTCAACTATCTTCCTTTTGGATCAGGGAGGAGAATATGTGCCGGGATTAACTTAGGAGAGAAGATGGTAATGTATGTGCTAGCTACTCTCCTACATTCTTTTGATTGGAAAGTAGAAGATGTTACAAACTTCAATTTGTCCGAAAAATTTGGTATTGTATTGAGAAAAATGGATCCCTTAGTAGCTATACCAACTACTAGATTGCCTAATTTAGAGCAATATTTTTGAAACCTAAATATTCGGTTTGAGTTGAGTAGTTATTGTTAAATGTGATAGAATCCGTTAATGATATGAATTTGGTGTAAATAATAAATTTTAGAGCATATAGTGAGGATATTTATTATTCTTGTCTTATTTAAAATAAGTGTACTAAATCTTTCTTATAGTTATTATTAACTAATTATCTTACCTTTGTTAATTATGTAATAAATACCCTAAAGGAAAAAAAATTACCCTTAAAAAAATAAGTTTTTTTTTTTAAATTTTATTTTTTACAGTTCTAAAATTTAGAAAAATTAATTTTTGTATAAAATTATTGTCAGCTTAATCTGAAAAATTAATATTTTCTATAATTGAGAAGGAAAGAAAAAATTAAGGACCAATGACGGCCTTGTATTTCTTACCTTCATACTACAGCTTACACGAGGTCTTGAAAGGTAGGCTTGCACTGTAAATACCATAAATAAAGACTCAAAACATGCACGCCCACATTTGCTATTCCTATAGATATTAAGTAAAGTTAGGGATGACAATCTTGGTCAAAATCTATTCTACCCAAACCACCAAAACCTGACGCAAATAAGTTTACAGTTTTGAATCAGAATGGGTTCGATTGATAGGGATTAATGTGTGTTGAATATTATTATTTATTTACTTACGTTTATCCTATTTCAATTGTCTTAGTCTTTAGCACGTGTACTAATTTGGTACTCAGAAGATGTAGACTTTTTCGTTTTTTTAAGATATTTGAGTAATAATAGAAGTTAGTGGTCTGTTACCTTATTTTAATGGTTTTTACCGTTAGAAAAACTCTATTTAAAGAGCTCACCTACTGAATGCAAGGTGTGAGATTACAGCTTATTGAATAACGTCTAAGATTCATTCACTCTACTTTAGCTCATAACAATTTCTGTTTTCTGCTTCAGTTTTATTAGTGGTATTAGAGTCACGGGTTGGTTTTAGAGTGAATAATTGAGACAAAGAAAGAGAGTGATGTGAGATGAGAGTGATACAACAGTATCTTTATTTTTGCAGCAACAAATCAATGGCGACGGAGACTTATGTTCAACCAGTAATTCCTCACTTCGATAGTCACTATAATCATTGGAGCATGCTAATGGAGAATTTTCTCATATCCGAAGAGTACTAACAAATCGTCTCTGTACGAATTTCTAAACCAACAACTGGTGTAATACCCGGACTTGAAATTTAACTCGAGATTAATTTTAAAATTTCAAAAAAATGTATAAAAATATAATTTTAAAATTAATAAATTTTTAATTAAAGTGAAATTAGAAAAAAAATAGGTTGAGTATGAAATTGAAAATAATTTTGAAAAAAATGAATGAAAATTTGGGTTCGGATAGTGTTTTTGAAAAAAAAAATCAGAAACTGGTGGTCAAAACGAAATTAAAAAAAATTGTGCTATGTAGGACCGCCCAATCAGCAGCCTCGACGAACCGGAGTGTGCCGTGTGGTAAGGCACACTGACTCGATGCCACGCGGGAGGCCACACTTGCAATCCGTGTGCTCACGATCGGACAGTCCGGATGTGTTCCAGCGCGCGTGGATGGTCCAGATCTGTTTCCTCCTTATGTGCGATCAGACGATCGTGATTAAATACGATGAACAGTTCAGATTCATTCCCTCTTTAAACATGATTGGATGGTCGACATCCAATAGCAATGAACGATCAATATTCATTTCTTCTTTAAATGCGATCGGACAGTCGAGATCAAACGCGATGAACGGTACAGATCTAAGCGAGACGGGTATAAATATCTCGCATCATACTAAATCCAAACCCTAGTTATCATCCTCCCACCGGAGAAGAATAACTAGTCACCGGAGAAGAAGAACCAGTCGCTAGAGAAGGGAGCCGACTGTCGCCCGCCGCCGCGTCGGAGCCACCTCTAACCGCTAAAAAAAGTAAAAATTCTACTGTCCGCTCAAAATTTGATTCCGAATACCCCCATGGCAAAATCAGAGTAAAAAGAACGGCGGATGAGATAGAAATTGCGGGTAAAACCATAAACCGCATTTGATGAGCCCCTTCTTGTTTCCCGTTTCATGCATTGTGTTCACCGTTTTGTTTTCTACAAGTTGATCAAAGAAAAAGCCCACCAGCGAAGGTGAGCCGGTAAAGCCGCCACACCGAAAAATTATGCCGTCGGTAGGTTTTTATTTTTTGACTTTTTTCGACCAACCAAGGTCCCCTAACGTGTTTTCTATCAGCGATGGGTATAAAACTAGTCAAAACTAGTCAAAATCGGCCGAAAATGGCCAGGCTGAGGCAAACTGCCACTGCGGTCAGCAGTGCTGTTGCCTGAGCACGGCTGTGCCGCTGTGCCAGAATTTTGAAATTGGTTGAAAAAAATTTTTAACACCGATTTTAGATTGTTTGGAGTACTTTTAGGTACGTGAAGCGTGTTTTAATTTACGCATAAAAATTCAAGAAATCTAGGGACCGCCAGTAAGCGTAGTAAAAAGTTCAGTGTTTTGGACACTGATTCAGGTAAGAATCCCTCATCTTATTTTCTTTTATGGAATTGAAATTTAATAATCGGTAATATAATATTTTATATAATTTAGAAAACTTTGAGAATAATTGCAAGTTACCAATGGAGACGAAACCCGATTAGTCATTTATTTGTTGTCCTGCTTAACTGATGGTTGAATTTACAACTTCAAATATATGATGATATATTAGAATGATTAATTGATTCAATTGTGTTTCCTTTAATATATATATTGCTTGTCTTGCGTGATTTACGGTTGATTTGTGAAATTAAAAATTAATATGCAAACAAAAAATTGATTGGTCACGTGAATTAATAAATGATAGCCTTACTGGATATCTTGTGAGATGGTGGACGGATCGGGTACATAGAGAACTTTACCGTGAACGTTGCCTCATACCAAACGAGATATCGATGAATAGTATTTTTGACGCTCATACCGGATGGGGTATGGGGACGGCTTGATTCACCCTCATACCAGACGGGGTCTTGAGGAATAGTATTTTTGGCACTCATACCGAACGAGATATGGGGATGACCGTTAAGTTGAAAATATTGAATATTGGTTCGCTCGTGGTGAGACATCTCTATGCACCCCCAGGGATATCAGTAGTCAAATAAAAATGGAAAGTTATTGTTCTTGCTCTCTTGAATATGAGGTTAGAATGTTATTTGAGTTATTATCTCTATAGATCGATTTTAAAAATCTTGCAACGGTAAATATATACAATATATGATTTTCCTTATGATAAATGAATTTAGTTAAATCAAGAGCTCCATTGATTGTTTTTATAATTTTTACTAACTTTCAGTTTATGTATCAGTAAGTAGTGTGATATTCTTACTGAGTTAGTGTAGCTCACCCATTTATTAACTATTTCAGATCAAGAGGATCAAGGCCCACATCCCGATCAACAAGAGGGTTGTGAATAGTTCACCACCCGGACTCCCTTCAAAAGCTAATTGAACTCGTCTTAGAATACTCAGTTATTGGCTTTGTTTATTTTTTTTATTTTTGTAATTTCTTTTAGAAGAGACATTCTCGTAGCCTTATTAGGCATTCTAAATTATTGTGTAGGGAATGTAAACTCTAAATTCTATTATTTCGCTTCCGTATTTAATTTATGACTTTATTTCCTTTTAGATTCCGAGCCTTTATAACTGATACAACAATAACTAATACACAAATAAAATTAGAAGTGCGATGGTTAAAGGATCTCAAGGCGAAGAACTATCTTTTCCAAGCAATTGATCGCTCAATCTTGGAAACTATTCTTTTGAAAGAAACCTCTAAGCAGATTTGGGACTTCATGAAAAAGAAATATCAAAGATCAACAAGAGTAAAAATGTAGCAGCTTTAAGCACTTCATTCGGAGTTTGAAACTCTACAAATGAAATTCGGAGAGTTAGTTTCAGACTATTTTTCACGGGTGATGACAATAGTAAACAAAATGCGAATTTACGGTGACAAGATAGAAGAAGTTACAATTGTTGAAAAGATTCTTCGAACTATGACACCAAAATTTAATTTTATAGTTTGTGCCATAGAAGAATCTCATGATATTAATATGTTTGCACTTGATGAGTTACAGAAGTCTTTGTTGATACATGAACAAAATATTAATCAACAAGAAAAGGAAGAGCTAGCATTGAAGGCCTCAATAGAAAATCATTCAACAGATAATCGAACTGGAGGTCGATGCAGCAGTACAGGAAATAACAGAGGCAGAGCCAAAGTTAAATGCAGTAATAATCAACAAGGACAACACCAAGAAAATTAGTTTCAAAGAAAAGGAAGGGGACAAGGTGGCTACAACTCAAAATCATTAGACAAATCCAGAATTTAATGTTATAGATGCCATAAATATGGTCATTATAAGTCAGAATACCGAACAAATTTGTCCAAAGTACATGGAGAAGAATCTAACTTTGCAGAAAAAAAGAAAAAAGAGATATCATTATTTATCGTTTGTCACATGAAGGAAGAAACTACAAGAATTTATGGTATCTTGACAT